ATTGATGCAACTACATATATGCAAAAAATAAAAAAGACACTGAGACTTTTAAAAAAATCTTTTTTTTTTTTATAAATATACGTTTTGGCTATATAGTCTAGCCAGTTTCATCCTTTCTTTTTTATGATTTTATCGCTTTTGTTATTAAATATCTCAATTTGTGATAATAGGAGAATTTACGTTCATGTTCCATCTCTTTCTGACAGATCTATTATCAAAATGTAGGATATTTAATAACAAAAGTGATAAAAACATAAACAAAAAGAAAATGAAATCGACTACATACATAAAATATATATTTAAAGAAAAAAAATGTAATTTAAAATTGTGAGCACACCTCACTCCTTTCATTTGCATGTATTGTCGCATCAACATAAACATCAATTTACTCTGAAGAAGTCCTAAAGGATAAAATGCATCACTTGGTATTTTTTCCATACTGTCATATATGCACTCATTCTTTTCTTTTTGAACAGTTCATAAATTTTTTCTTTATTTTTTGAAGTTCACAATTCTGTATTTTCTCTTCTGTTTAAATGTCATTCACTTACGTTAGTTTTTGCATCGCGATATATTACTATAATGTACATTATACAAAAAATTTTAGAAAAGGAAAAACAATAAACACACTAAATGACCAAACACCAGATAAAATCTCTAAGCTCAAATTTGCTTTTAATTTTTCCATAAATAATAAACAATTTTAAAATTTTTATAACATTTTTTAAATTATTAAATTAAAAAAAAAATGAATCTAAAAATTTACCTTAATTAAACGATTTTCAATTAATAAACTTTGTTTTTATTAATTTAAAGAACAATTAAGGTAAAATTAAAAACTTTATTTTGGCAGATAAAAAAAAATATGTTCTCAAATGTTCTGAACTTGAAATTTACACTCTCCAATTAATAAACAAAAAATGCAACCCAATTTAAAAAATTAGACAAAAATTTTAATTAAGAATAATTTCATTCTTAACGTATGTCACTAGTCTTTCAGTCATCGTGTTTTCTTGCTTGAAATGGCTGCTACTACATCTTTCTATACAAAACACAGAAACAAGGAATTGCTTCTTGAAAGAAATTACATTCAATAACACATTAAGCATTAATAGCAGTTTTGATATTGTCACTAAAAATATAATCCACAATCATATACACATACACACTTTCTTCATATCTCACCCACACACACATATATATATATATATATACACACATACACACATCCTTACTCCATCTTTTAGCATATGCATCTATAGCTATGTACATTTACAGATACTTACATACACATATTTATACACAAAATACACACACACACACACACATATATATATATGCATTTATCTAAAATGTACATAAATAGATACATATATACACTCACAAGCATACAACATATGAAGATACATACACACACACACACGTGGTTATATCTAGAGATATAAGTGCTTTTATGTACATCCAAATGTACATTTTTACATTCATATATATATATATAGATATCTGTGCACGTATATATGTATATATGCTCGTGTGTGTGTGCGCGTATATATAGTGATAAATACAATTGAATGTTTACTTATCTTATCCCTACGCTGAGTTACATGGAGATTACATCAACTTGTCAGAGGGCTTCATTGTAAAATAATTTCACAATCAATTCCTCTAATGAGTGGGTGTAATCTCCTAAAAACTCAGATCAGAGATAAGACAGGTGAACATTTAATTTTATTTATTACTAATAATGCTCTATATTGTGATATGGAGCACTATAAATACAAAAATTGGTTGCCGTAAAAATTTTATCTTCCAGAAATACCCTGGTTGACCATTTTTTTTGCAGGGCAAAACACAATCTTTGTTATATACATATATATATATATATATATATATATATATATATATATATATATATATATTCATCCATAGATAAAAACACATTTTCTTTTACTTTGTAATAAAACAAACCTTCACGGAAGTTTTGCTCTCACCAAAATATATACAATTATTATACATTAATCTATTTCGACAAGTGTCCCCATCTTGGTTGTTACCATCACAACGTTTCAGCCTTTTCATTCTCTGGCCTTCTTCAGATGCCTGTTATATTCAGCAATCTCTCAAGAATTTTAAACTAAACCCTTTATTCAATCAACAAGGGTAGATTGTTCTCATTACACTATCTGACAGAATAATGATCTTGTTGATAAAAATTCTGGTTGAGCACATCTAGATACCTGGTGGGTTTGAGTTCAATCCCTCTAAACGGGGCTGTGAAATTCATATTCTCCAATACAGTGGCGTTTTGGGAAATAATGTGTCATTGCAATGATTAACTGATACGAGTTATCTCCCTTAGCATGGGCAGCAAACTGGTAGCAATCTACTTGAGTCAAGTCAACCTGTGGATTGAATTAAAGATTCAGTTCAAAATTCCTGAAAGGTCACCAGATTTAACAGAAAATGAGGTCATTGATTTGAATACATCAATATATAATAATGATAATCCCTCATCTCAGAAAATCAGAGAAATATGTACAAGATTCATTTTTGTCAGTCAGCTGTAATTGTAATCTGAATTGTCCTAGGTAGTAACGGAATATTCTAGTCACATTAACACAAGTGATAGTGGTGGTTCATACATATTTCTATAGTTCTTGCAAATTTTACAAATACATAAATAACTCAGACTTGGAAAGCAGAGAGTGTTCCAAATTTAGACACCTACTTTTCAGCTTATACGCTTCCTTCTAAAGTCTACTTCAGCTCTGTACTCTTAACACTTGTCCTTACACTAATCTTATGCAACTCCACACAGTAACCCTCTACCTTGAGTGGTTCTTGGGCCTTGTATTGGGTGAACATTAGTAATAAAAAAAAAATTAAAAAAAAGAAAAAATAGAAAAATACCTGAGTAAACCATTCAATGCCCAAATTAATATATTGTCAAATTAACCTTTTTAGCTATCCAAATTATCTGCTTAAGATTGTGTTCAGCTTCTCACTGACACCTATCATATTTAACCATTGGAATGACAGCTGGAAGAACTATTTCAAGAATGTCTTTAAGGGTTTGACTTTCCGGGTCTAGATACTTACAACCAGGCAAGGATTTTTAAATTATTGGTAAATGGCACAAAGTAAAGTCTTTATTATAAGACCTTTGCCATTAATCTAAAGATTTGCCTGAGGTTTGGATTAGAATTAACAACTTGATTATTTATACGAGCTTTGACGTACAGGATAAATGAATTTCCTTAAAGCTATGTCCTAAACACAAAACACTATTCCTTGACTTCAATGAACATGAATCATTTGAAATAAGAGACTAATAGCAAAACAGAGAGACTTTACCGCATGAAATATGCAACTATCTTTTAAAGACATGGCTAAGTCCGGGCTTCAATCAATGTCAATCATTTTGATTAGTTAATGATAAATATAGTGGCTATTGCCACGTGAAATATGATGACCATAAGAGTAAACCGATGAGCAGTTAATGATGTAATGTGAAATTCAATAGAACAATTATCCTAGATTTAGTTGTGTCAGGGGTTGATACAGTTCTCAGCAGGAGTGGCAATAAAGCTTACATAGACAGTGTCAGAGTGTCAGATGTGACGGTAAATTAAGAGGCAGTTTTTTTTTTTTTTTTCATTTTAAGAAAACAGCCTCTGAATAAAAAGTCTGAAGCCGAAGGAGAAGTTGACAGCAAAGTATTTGCTGAAAGGCTTACAATATTATTATTGTTGTTGTCGTTACTTAATTTTACTGCCTGGTGCAAAGAATTTTACTGCCTGGTGCAAAGAATTCAGGAGGGAGCAGAACATTAAAGGTAACATTGTGGAAAGTTAGTTGTTTTTACTGTAATTTCAACCTAAAGTTAAAATCAAAGTCCACATTGTTTGCTTTTTTTTTCCTTTTTGTTTTTAGGGGGGAGGAGTGATGATAAATTTTATCTATCTTTGCTGTTGTGTGAGGCATGATTTCTGTGAAGTGTTTGAATGTTCTGAAGTAATAAAAATTAATCAGTGTAGGTGGTTGTCTAGTGTATATCTAGAGAAGACCATTAATTTTTTTTCTTCTTTTTTCTTTTAATGTTGTATGAACTTTGTTGGAAATACGATATCAGAAATAAATTATACATCGTGTTTTTTCTTTTTTTTTTTAAATTCTGGTTTTCTTATTTCGGTTTTAACTTGGTATGTAATGTAGGTCAACAAATAACCAAAATGAAACAAGATGGATTTCAACTTTGTTTTAGGAGTAGTTCACAGATGAACAAACTAACTTTTCACGATGCATGGAAACTCCACATCCTATAATTTCTATCTTTTCCCAAGGAAAAGTTTTTTTCTTTTTTCTTTTTTTTTTTTTTTTAAATCTTTTTTCTTAGATGTGTCTGTTTTTTTTTTTTTTTTTTTTTTTTTTTTTTTTTTTACTTTTTGGGTCTAAACAATACTATGACTAGGAAAATGAATAAATTAAAAAGAGAAAGAGAGGGGGATTTGTTAAAAATTACAGAATAAAACAATTTTAAATAAAGCCACCAATTTCAGATAATGGAATCTTAAAAAAAATAGGTTCTGTTTTTTAGTATTTTTGATTTAAAATATTTTTGTCTTTTACCAAAAACTGACAGCGGCTAAAAATGAAATGCAAGATTATTTGTATGTGTTTGCTTGTTTTCTTGTTATTGTTAGCTAGCAGCTGCCTGGTTTCTGGTGACTACTTGGAATGATCTCCTAGCCTGGACAATACTCGGTGCTTCCCATTCCCACAATGAACTGGCCACTGTCGGCTTGTCCGTCCTGACACAACACAATGCAACACGCAGTTCTACTCCTCGTCATTTTGGGAAGAGTGGATAGAATCCGAGACTGGCACTGATTGTGCAGAATAGGCAAGGATAATGATGACGGAATTGGCCACGGAAACGCAGTAGCAGACAAGTAAACCTGGTCAAAGCACAGAAAGCTTACACAACAGGGAGGAACGGGTTATGCATTCAATGGCTGCAAAGTCTGCAAAAGAAAAAGAAAAAAAAATATATATATATATATAGTATGAAGAACAAGAATTCATGTGGTCGAAAAAGTTTATTAAAAAGTTAAAAGTTCAGCACATTTACTGAATTTGCATCGATTGTTTTTTTTTAAAACTTATGAAATGGATATATATATATATATATATATATATATATATATATATAGAGATATATATATAGAGAGAGAGAGAGAGTTTTAAGGTATGTTATATTTATGGGTTAAAGTGCTCAATATCAAGTAGTATGTAAATATGTAAGCATATGTAAATATATAAATATAAAAGTGAACATTGAAGTCAACACCCAATTTGTTTCATGCTTAAACACAATTGTCTGGCCATATTCATTGTGTTTTGGCTCAACTATTTATATATATTGGTGAGTGATGCAGTATGGGTAGGCTTATTGTATTATTCTAACGGTTATTTGGGTGGGCAATAACTGTTATGTTTCAAATTATTTTAGGGGCTTTTCAGTGGAAATGATTGTAGATGTGGGTACAGTTTTGTGGCTATTTTATAGTAATTTTTAACTTCTTTATTATTTATTGTGGTAATAGATAAGCAAATCCTATCTTCCCTCTTGCTTGTAACCATCGACTATAATAAAATAAATATTTCAGTGCTAAAAATGAATTAGTCAAATAAAGCTTCATAAGTTTCAACTTAGAATTATTGTTATATTACATTTATTGTTGATTATTTTATTGTTGATTGTTATCATTACATTTACTTGTGTTTATGTGTGCATTCATGGTTTGTTAATTATTTGATTTATTTATTTATTGGTTTGGAGTTAATTTATTTTTCTTGTTTATTTTTATTTATTCTTGTTCTTGAATGAACAACAATAAATTTTTAAAAAACTTTCTTTATGAAAGCAAATCAGTTGCTTAACTGGGCCAAATTGCTTTATTCCTGGTGTGTCCGAATTAACCAGAATCAGCATTGAAAAATAAGTGTTTTGAATATGAAAACAAAAGAACTTACAGATGGGTTCCTCTCCAACATGATTCGGTCCTGGGTTGTCTTTCGATAAACAGGGTTGTCAAAGTTCATGTGCTTTGTCCTTCGTTTGCGCAGAGATTTGTATCCAATATAACCAACCTGAAAGAATTATGCAAATGTGTAAAAAACCAAACAAAATATATATATATATATATATATATATATATAAATAAGAGAAATAAATTATTAGGGGTGTATCAAAAGTATTTTTCTTTTACAGGACTTTCATGTAAACATCAAAAACTATCTATGATAACATTATATCAGTCTATTGAACAGGAGTAGTGGTCTATCTCTTGTTTCCTGTTTAGGATTGGGTTTCTAGTTCCTTCTCCTTCTCCTTCACTCCCAGTAACCTCTTAAATCTTAGTCGCATTATCACCTTAATTCATGTGAAATGATTAAAACAAAAGGTTGAATAAAGAGTTCAGTTTGAAATTCGCTGTAGGTTACCCAGATCAATATACACCTGAGGAAGGTCGGAAGGCACAACAGTCAAAAAGTTGTGATAACAAAAACAAAGATGAGGATAATAGTCCGCATGTAAATAATGTAAATAATAATCACCAAGAGTAACCATGATGAGAGATGGAGTCTAGAAATCTGATGGCTTGTAGTAGAACGTTCTACTGACTACACTAAACATGTGGCCAAGTGACTAGAATCACAATATGGTTGATTTGACAAGAAGGTGACTTCTGATTCTATTGGCCTGTAGAGGTGATCCCAGCATACGGCACCTTTGGAAAGTATCTGAAAGCTGTGCCACTGGTTGACTCAAGCCTTGTGAGTGAATTTGGGTAGACAGTACTATTTGGGAGCTGTCAGTGTTTGATCTAGCACAAAGTCACAAGTCATCGTGACCAAGGGTTTGAGCATACTGGCCTTGTTCAGACTGTTGATCATGCCAGATAATGCACTCTTTCCCAGAAACTGTAACTAAGGTCCGCTCAGCATAATAAACACAAATGTACCAGAACAGGCGTCTGCTATAGGGAAGGGTTAGCCACCCTAGTGGATAGGTATCCTCGGATACGAGTGGCCAGCCAATACAGTAAACAAAAAATAAAAAATTAAACTTACTACAGATATGATTACAATCAGTATAAGTAGAACACTTGTAACAATGCCAGCAATTTTGCCAACATTTTCTCGTTTCTTCTGCATCACCATTGGAGTTGTTTGGTTGGCCACATTGCCACCAGGCATTTGGGTGACATTTGTGTCATCTTCATTTGTTGTCTGGTTCTGAGTGGTTGTCGTCTCTACTGTCACTTTGGGGACCGTTATTACTTCTGTGATACTGGTGTTAGCTGAAAAGAAAAAAAAGACAGTTATCGAATAAGCATGACTAGGCTGAGTCAATATTTGATAAAGAAAGCAAAGTGAGGTAAAATTATATAAATTTGTATGGTCTGCAAATCTACCTACTTATATCTGGGTTCATGATTAATAAAAACTATTTGGTAGACATCCATTTATCTCACAAGATAAAGGTAGTGTCTTGTTTGGTCAAAATCCAGCCCTTTAGGAAGTGGAACTGGAGTGACCTCTCCAGAATGCAGGCCTGGGTGATGGTATATGGAGGCTGTGCACTGCGCAGACTATATGACCCACCCCACATTGGCTGTATTGACAAGATCCAAAGGAATACAGATTTGGGAACAGCTTGGCTGCAGGAGTTGCCAGAAAGTTATCAGTATTGACAGCCAACCGCCTTTGTGGCTTCACTCTGCATTTTCTGTCTGGATTTACTTCTATAGCCCTTTTCATGTTTATAAGACATCAAAATTATAATATATAATTTACAATTTTTCTTTTTTTAAAGGCTAAGTGTAAGGAGGAATTGTTCATACTATTTATTGTCATGAATGCTTTCAGTTTATTCTTTAAATTATTTTCCAAAGAAAGCTTCTTCTTAATTTGTTTTATTTGCTATGGGGCACCTCGAGGTGGTGTAATGGTTAGCAAGCTTGTCTTGCTAGAACAATTACCATTGAGTAGTGAGTTCAATACTCACTGTGTGCCCCCTAGTTTCGGCCTTGTGCCACATTTAAGCTATGCTTGGAAAATCATTATTTGTTTTGTTTGCTGTACTGTATTTTGTGAGTGTAGCAGCAATTTAATTCTTAGAGGCTTACGGCCAAATTATATTGAAACACCAGTTCCTGTATGATCACCAAAGTTAAGCAATGTTGAGCCTGTTCCTAAATGAGTGACCGCTTGGGAATATCAGATGCTGTAAGCTTGGATGAGCGGGTGGTGTAATGGATAATGTCTCAGAATTGTTACTTGGAGAGCCGAGTTCCATTTTCAGTTGGGTTTGTTATATTCACTTAAATGCAAATACTCTTGGGAAAGGTATGAATCTAACTCTTCTCCCCCCAGCTATAGGTTAATTAGTAAGACTCGTATCACTAAATCTCAAAAAAAAAGATAAAATCTTACAATCTAAAAATATTTCCTGCTTTAAATAACCTGCAAATGGTTGATAAGCTGTACAAAACGAGTCAATCAATCATTCTTGGGGGAAGTTTTGTTTAATTTCCAAATGAAAAGACACCTTGGCTATGTTTGAAAAACGTGCTATTTATGCTTTTTATTAGGAGTTGTAATATTTTCGGAAGTTTTTTACAACTAGATGTTCTTAATATGTCAGCTTCAGTCACTTTCCCACTGCCACAACATAGCTTCACTGTGCCTTTTCAATAAATATTTTCATGATAACTGTTCTGATAAGCTTTCCTCTTTGTTACCTTAACTTTACATAATTAAGTGCAGTACTAGATTGACAGCTAGGTCTCATTATTTTACAGTTGAAATTGCTAGATGTAACCATAAATTCTATGCTAATAGTTTCTTCTTTCACACTTTTGGCTTTTTGCTTTCCTATCAACTTTGATCTTCAAAAATTTAAATGCAATGTCAAGCATCATCATCATCATCATCTGTCTCCTTAAATCCTGTTCCTTCATTGTCCTCTCTTCTTAATAATGATTATTCTCAGCTTCTTTCACACTCAGTAACCCTTTGCATCCTAGTGGCTTTATTGCCTTGCTTTGAGTTGAAATAATTAAAAAAAAAAAAAAAAAAACATTGCAAATAACAGCAAGAGAAACAATAATCTAATGTTTTGACTAAAAAATTCAAACATCTTCAGAATTCACATCTTGATCCATAACAAGTCTTCAATAAATAATTGTATCATATGCTTTGCTATTTGGATGAACATGCACATCTTGTTTGTTACACTCACAACGTTTTGACTGTTGTACTTTTTGATGTTTTTTGTACTCGGTACCTTTCTTGGAACATATAACTAAATTCTTTCTCCAGTCCACAAGAATAAATTGTTCTCATTGTACTTTCCATGCTTAGGGCATATTTCATATCAGTTAATATACACCAGTCTTGTTCAACATTGTCTCACTTATCTGTTTCTTTCACTGGACTTGTCTCTGACTTCTCAGCACTACCAGATACAGGGATTAAACTTCTAAGTGCCAGGAAACTGGATGTTTCTATTAAAAGCAATGTCAAGCATCATCATCATTATCTGTCTCCTTAAATCCTGTCCCTGGATGTTTCAATTAAAGACAGACACCAGGAGGTTGGAGAGTACCACAGCTGAAACGTTGTGAGAATAATTACCATGCTGATCCGAATAGCAAAGTATGTACTAATTCTTAAAAAAAAAACAAAAAAAAAAAACAACAAAAATAGCTATATGTTATCAATAATCAGAGATCAATTAATGATCAGATCAATTCTTAATCAGAGATCAATCAATAATCATCTCAATTCTTAATTAGAGATCAATCAATAAACAGATCAATTGTTAATCTGAGATTAATCGATAATGATGTTAGTTAATAATCATCTCAATTCTTAATCAGATATCAAATCAATAATCAAAGATCAATCAATAATCATCTCAATTCTTAATCAGAGATCAATTCTTAATCATACTTCATCATGCAGCTTGCATTTTATAATAAAAACAAACAGGATTTATATATATATATATATATATATATATATATATATATATATATATATATATATATATTTAGAAATTCTTTTGTTAGTAGTGTCTTCCTGCTAAAATGGAGATATAACACCACTGAAATCATTGGAGCTTCATTTCAAGCCAAGCACAAACATTTAGGTTGTTAGTTGCCAAGCTTAACTGATATTACCAGAATAAAAATAATAAAACACATGTGATTAGTTGTTTCAGAAGCAAATATAAGCCACATAAAGAAAAACATGTTAAAAAAAAGATAACATGCATTAAGTATTCAGCAACAAGGATCAATGAAGTTTGATATTCAATATGGCAACCACTACACCCCATATATAATATAATGAAAAAATAAAATCCATTTATGATAATAAATGTGGAAGTTTTGAATTAAGAAACTTTGTATTTCCATTTAACAATGATAAATGTAAAATATTTTAAGATACAGGCTAAAGCAATATTTTAATACAAGAATTCACCAAATGAAGAGCATGCTCAGAAGCCACTCAAGATAGAGGGTTGCTCCAAAAATGTTAATAATGAATGAAGTGTGAATGAGAAGATTATGAGGTTAAGGAGGACAGATAACGATTGATCTTTGACTTAAAGAGATTCCCATTGCATACAATAATAGCAGTGTCAAGGAAAAAACTGTCATTTTGAGATACTTTTTTTGCAGGCACAAAGGTTAAACATTGCCAAATATTTTATGCACACTTTAATTCCATGGGGTGAGAGATAATTTATTTAATGTGTGTTGTTTCTTTCGTATATGAGCCTCAAGTATTTTGAGGCTTTCCTTGCAGCGAGTGATATATAGTATTTTGATATTATCTACTAATATATTGTCAACGATACAAATAACGCCCAATTCTTGATCATGACACTCAAAGTATTTGAACAAAAACAGAACTTGAACAATTTATCCACAATTCTGATACCATGGAAAATACATAAAAAAATTAAACAAACACCTGTTTATTTATATATATATATATATATATATATATATATATATATATATATATATATATATATGAATTGGGATCAAATACAGATCAAATATGGATTGGAATCCAAAAGAATGATAAGACAAATAACAAATAGGAAATCTAACATCAATCTAATATGTTTCACTTTTATTAAAGCTTCAGAGAATGTGCTATAGAAAAAAAAAAGAAATTCTGGTATTTTTATTTTTCTGCTTGATTTTCATTGGTTAACCAGGTTTCATGTGCATTTGACATGTTAAAACAACATTGTTCCATTGGGGGAGACATCTTAAAATCTTAAAGTGCATACATAAAAGGCATAGCATAAAAGGGATCTACATTGTGACATCCCTTTTAATCTCACTCATACACAGCAATATTTATGTTTTTTTCTGTTAGGCTTCGAATCCGTTAATTTGTTGGAGCTGCAAACAGACATGTTATCTCTCCCTGAATTCAAAACACTATAAATTATACTAACATTGTTTTAATGAGTCATATGCAATGAAGCCTGATTAACCAATGAAAATCAAACAACACAGAAAAATAATACCAGAATTTCTTTTTCTCCATATGTCATTCTCTGATAAAGCTTTAATAAATGTGAAACATATTAAATTGATAAACATTTCCTATGTTCTTTATCCAATCACATATATATATATATATATATATATATATATATATATATATATGAATGATAGGATAGAGAACAAATAGGAAATGTTTATCAATTTAATGTTTCATTATTATATATATATAAATATATATATATATATATATATATATAACATTTTATATCAATAGAATTTTGCATCCAACAACAAAGGAAAGATTTTCTACAAATTGTCTATGCTAGAGATTAACTAATGAGATTAACTAATGAGAACACAAATCAATCAATTCTGTTTACTCTGCAAATAATTTTAACTACAATTAATTACAAAATTTCACTCCAAATAAAAACAACACAAATCAAGTTTTCTAAAATAAAAATCAATTTAAAAAAATAATAAGGGATTATATAATAGAAAGAAGAAAAAAAACCCATGCACAAGGGTTACAATTTTTCATTTTAAGATCTACAGGAATGAAAGGAAAGGATCACTGAAAAGAAAGTCGCTACTTTTTGAATGTTTTTTTTCAAAGGAACAATGACAACAGGAGAATGAAAGGCAGGTCACATGACTAGAGAGTAACAACAGCAACGAAGATGACATACAACAGCCACAAGGACAACAAGAAATGCCAAAATCATGCATAGAATAAAGGCTCACCATACGAATGAGTGTTAGTA